TCTCTCTCTCTCTCTCTCTCTCTCTCTCTCTCTCTCTCTCTCTCTCTTTCTCTCTCTCTCTCTATTATCACATTCAACTCCACTTCCTCTCCGCAGAGTAATGCTATATATTTTATGAATATTAACATAATTAGGAGAGAGAAACATACAACGATCACTGAATTTTCATTCTTGTCAACTCGTTGTTTCTACTATTTTCAAACTCTTTTAAACATTTCTCCTTCCAGGTCAAAAGCCTCGCGTACTGCATGCCCTTAAGAAAGGAGCTACAGCTATCAAGGCAACGATACCAAAAATTAAAGATGTCAATATAATTGATAAATACTCACGCATGGTGTTCCCCGTTAGCTTTTTAGCCTTTAACTTAGGCTATTGGCTCTTCTATATTCTAGAATGATAGCAAACGCTAACACTTCACACTTCCAAATAGGCTTAACCCTCAATAGTGTGTAGTGTAAAACATAACCTAAAATAAATTGAGAAAAATTTCAGATACCATACCATACCAATCCTACGACGTACAATCCAAACGGAAAATCAAAATATTCGACTCTCAAGCCCAACAAGCGGATAAAGTTAATAAAAAAAATTCACGTAACCTCTGAAACGGATAATAACAATAACAAGAAAAAGGAAATTACTTTAAATTGAATGGTAAAAGAAAAAAAAAATAAAAAAATTCGGATAATTGAAGAACGAAAGAAATTATTGAACCATTTAATAGGAAAATATTAAAAATATTAAATAAATAACTTCCAGCAGAATTCGTATAATCACACTTACGTACATTCTTCACTTCTTCTACATCGGGAAATTTTTTTTCAAGTCTAGATTACAAAACATAAAATTGGCCTATTTTGTTTGATCATTTTGCATTCATCAAAAAGTATTATTTGTAAATACTTCGGAGTTGTTGTTGCAATAATAGATCATCGCAAAGCCTATAATAAGATTCTGATTACGTTTCGAGCATTCGCAAGTAAGCATCAGTGAAGCACAAGGGTAGAATGTGAGATTGTTAATCAAGTTAATTGAAATCATTTGCTCATGAGTCTATCTTAAGTCCGTGTTAGTGTTGGATACATCAACAAGCTTAAAAATACGGTTAGCACAGATGGTGTAGGGTATAAATTTTTTCGCGCATAACATTCAGTTTTACATACTTTTTTCACGAAACGAAATTATAAATGTAAATGTAGTCTAAGTAGTGTTTTGCAATTTGCCAACTTTTCAAGCTGGAAAATGGATAGAGAAAACTAAATTAGTTTGGAGACTTTGCTGACATACTTCTGTTACAGCTTAATGATGGATTGAAAGAGTATTTAATCTGGCATTAATGATAGGAAACAAATGATAACTAAATCATATTGAGTTGAAATTTTGAAGAAACATTTATGAAATTCATATAAACTCTCCTGTAAAAACGATCTTTACTTTAGAGCACGTGAGCGACTGATAAGTTTTTATCCTAGCGGGTAAGAGCCTCAGATAATTCGTATTATTATTTGACTTTAAAATTTACAGAGAAATCTATCATGTTTTATTTATAGCCTATACTAGTAGTGTTACAGTCAATGTATTCTTATAATTATTGACTAATTTACCAAGTCGATGTATATGAAAAGTTGACAAAAATTAAGATGAATATACAAATTTTGCTTGGAAGCGAACAGAAAACTAATAATAATCGGAGAAACACTATGACATTGACTAATATTGACGTCGAAATGCGACATTTTTAGCACCAATTTGATATAACTAAATTTTGACTTAACCGCAATTAAACGCTGTACAAGTACAATTGAAAAAGGAAAAGAAAATACAACTAAAACATCAGAGACCAGTTTTTTCAAAAATATCCTTCCCAGAAAAAATTCAAAAAAAAAAAAAAAAAAACTTTTTAAAGGTAATTAAAAATAATTTTTTTTTTATTCAAAAAAAAAAAAAAAAAAAAAAAAAAGCTAAAACAAAACATTGTCACAAAAAGAAGAAAAAATTTAGTAGATAATCTGTTCATTGAGACAAAAAAACCTGAGCTAAAGTAATTCCATTAAATAAAAAAAAAAAAAAAAAAACTAAATAAATAATAATAAAAAAAAAGATTTTTTTTTTTTTAAGTTTTATTTTTATTTGCCGCATAAGACGTCTTTATATAAATATGGACAATGTAAGGGCCCATATATTGATAGGTACCTATGCTCCTGTCTATGCATACGTGCGTGCGTGCGTCTGTCTCGGCCCCTAAGGCTATGTATGTATACGTGTATTGTTAATTAATGTAGGAAATCTATCACAACACTTTTACTTTCCTTGCGATACAACGTTTTGCCTTTTTTGTTCCATCATCTCTCCATCTTTGTCTCTACTCTTCCGTTTATTTAAGCGAGCAACACGTTAATGTCAAATACATATAGCAAAAGTAACTCTCTAACTACTGGCTTTCTACTTCAATTCATTTCTCTTTTTATCTCTTTGTCCGTCTCTCTCTCTCTCTCTCTCTCTCTCTCTCTCTCTATCTATCTATCTATCTATCTCTTTCATTACCTCGTTCTCTCTTTCTTTATCTCATGCTTTTCCTCTCTCCCACCAGAAGTTTTTATTTAGTTTTTTGAAGAAAAAAACAAGTAAGAACGAAAAAGGTTCCCCTCTCAATCTATTCTCATTTAATGTTATTCAAAAGTGTGGGAGTTTAACGATAATAAATGCGCAGATGTATGTATGGTCCATCCAGATGTGTTTATGCTTTCAAATCATTGCGACATTTATTTCAATATTCTCTACAAGATTATCTCTATTCATCGTCCGATACATCGGCCGAAGTGTAATTGGAAAGCTCAACTCCTCTCTTCACAAACGTTACGATAGGCATTTTAGATAATGAATGATATTTGAAATAATATTTCATTTCTTAGCTCCAGCTTAGGTTTGTTTATACACTATGAATTACCTAGAAGTCCATTTATTCCGATTCTCGCTAAAGTTGTAGATTTATGCATCAGTATTGTCGTATCACGTTACCTATCTAAGACTCTCTCAGTTAACCAATCAGTTTAGTTGTTTTTGAATTCTTTTAAGGTTGCCAGGTGCATTGCATATGCCCAAAAAAAAAAGTTTTTAATAAGAAAATCGCGATTACTGATTTGATAATCCTTTCTGACCATCCCCGTGTCACACTTTGCTGATTGGTCAAATATAAGTAGAAAAAACAACAAAAAAAAAAAACAAAATATTATTTGTGACCGAAAGTTAAGTAAGTCAAGTAAGTTAAAAAAAAAAATTGACGTTCAGAGAGTTCCTAAGAAAGTGTCGTCGAAAAGCTAAACTCGTTTTTGAAAAACGATTTTTAGTTCCTCTAAATATAAAATGCACTGCAATGATCAATTCAAACGGTGGGAACGTCGGGCGGGGCGTACATGGAGCAGGGATGATCTCAATGAAAAGAAAGAACACACCATCACCATTTCCATAAATACATTCAAACTCCTTACGTTTTACATTAGTCGCAGAAGAGGGTCCATCAAAGATTCAAGACAATTATCTTCAAAGCATCTATGACATCTATTATCGAACTTAAGCAAACAAATCACTCGAAAAAGTAAAAAGGGCCATGCGTCGCCACCTATAGACGCGAAAGAAAATCTTTCTAAGGATTGTTGAAATAAATCCTAAGAAATCTTAAAAGTATTCAGAGATAATCGAAAAAAAGAGTTCAAGTTTTTTTAAATCGAAATCTTGAATTGTCTGACCTTGATGGATGGCAGTCTGTCATCTTCTAATATTTAATAACAGAAAACAAGTGCCTTTTCTTCCCATTTTCAATAGCAAGTTTATTATCCGAATTGTGAGAATTTCTAGCGAGCGTTAAGTTAACCAAGGAGTCAAGTAAGCTCGAGAGTTACTTTGCACGATTAATTTTGTGGATTTGATTGGAGCGAATCTAGCTCGTTGTAAAGATGAATCTGAAACTCATAAGGATAAGGACTTCGGAATCCACATAGCTTGATGAATTGCGTCAAGTTGATGTCCTTAGAAACCGCCTGCAGCCTTTTCATGCAGCCGATAGACTTTAGGACGTAAAGCAAACTGAACAAAAGTTAGTCGCTTTCGAAATACCTTCTTTGAAATATCTGGATATGTTACAGTTCGGTAGCTTTACAGGACCGGCATACTTATGAGCGGTAATGTTAAACACTATTAAATACGTTTTACCATCTTACGGTCGTTCATAGAAAAATAAGCTGAATCCGAAAAGTAGTTCGATTCGAAATATTTTCAACAGCGCCCGCCGTTGTCCCACAACACATCAGCGTACGAAATTTCGAGAAGGTATCACAAAAATTGTTGCCTGTCCGTTGGACGCAAGCCCACAAACAAGACGGACAGACAAGCTTATATCGATGTAAAAAAAGATTCTGAATCGATCGGTATAATAAAGAGTGGGTCTAACTCAGGACCTTCTGAGTGTTGCACAAACTTAATATCCCGATCGTACCACACGTGTAAGGTATAATTATCTATCAACTAAACATTGACTTTTTTTGCTCGAAAAAGAAGAAATAAAAGTTAATTTTAATCCCATTTTTTTTTTTTACTTCACCCGCTTTCTCTCCCTTATCTTTACTTAACTTTAAACTTTGAACACTTGCATTGCACGCCACAGTGCTTGTTAAATTGAACTTGTCTCTCAAGAATGGCAATTTTCCTCAATATTCAAACATATGCATAAGAGCCTCCTCACCTAAAAAAAGGGTAACAAAATACCCCTTTTAGGCTGTAACAGTCACTTCCCGCTGCGGGAATCGCACTAATTCTTGATCTCCCCTAAAACCAAGGAAACATTGATTTTCCATACTCTTGATTACCATAAGTACTTATTGGATGAAGCAATATCTTCAAGGCATGGCGCTTGCGGTAAGATATTCCATCGAAAAGTTTGCAATATTTTCGTAAGCAATTTAGTAAAATGTATTCGAACACAGTTGGCCTGAAGAATCATGTCATCAGGTTTATTTGCCTTTGGTACGTTCTATCATGTAATACAAATCCAATTTCCATTATTGCCACTTAGGAAGTCAACTAAAAAGTTCGAGGAACGAGCGCATCACTTGATCGCACCATTTTACCCAAACTCTTAAAAACATGAATGTTCGGCTTTCATCGAGCTATCGACATGAATTCTAATATATGTTCGCCGATACAATTAGCATTCGAAGCGAACAAGCGCAATTTTAACGGCTCCACCATCTTAAGTTAAAGCGGTTCGGACGAAACGATCAGTAACATCACAAGCATAGCTTGCAAATACTATACGTTAGCTAGAGACGGCATGTAGTAAAGTAATAAAGTAGCAGCACTTGCAGAAAATGCCGTTTCGGACGGTCGAACTTTTAAAAATTTAAATACCCTAAAGTATTATAATAATATTATTATTAATTTAGCCTGAGAAACAAATGCTAAGACTAAAGTCTTAAAGCAGTAGTGCATCTAAGGCTATCGGCTTTATTGAAACTTCTACTATACTTGAGATTTCAAGACCCGAGACCCCATTGAGCTGTTAGCCGAGACCCTTTGCCCAGTCGGCCACTCAAGCTGACATATCCTAAAGCAATATATATCGAGTGTATGGCAATCGCTTGTGCACATACTTTAAAGCTAGAATTCGTAGAAATTGTTTTTTTTCCTCCTTTATAGAAATAAAATATGTACCAGCACGAAATTAAATCCAATTCAATTCAATTTAATATCTAAGAATAGTTTTGCAAGATTTCTTTTTCAAAGTTTCAATTGAAAATTTGTTTTTTTATAAAGATTTTATGTGCGAGTGGCATGAAAGCGGCAATCATGTAATGGCGCTCCGAAACGCGCTTACCATTCAAATGTACGGAAAATTCTTCTTAATGAATGCACTAAATTATTATTATTCATGCATGCATATATATATATATATATATATATATATCATCTATATATACATATATGTATATATTTATATGTATATATACACATCAGCATTATGGACCAGCGAAAGAAAAGCTTTAGGAAAGCTTTATTCATCTACGAAATTTTCTCATTTTTTGTGACATTTGGCGAACGATATGCTTGTGCATGCAGTGATAAATGAACAAATGAAAGTTACAGCATCTGTACCTAAAAAAGTTCCGTATAAAAGCAAATAATTGTTATCTGCTCGTTACCAAAGACAGTAGCAAAAATCATATACGCATTAAAACGGAATTGTGTAAGAAAAAAAAAAAAAAAAAAAAAAAAAAAAAAAAAAGAACTCACTCCTCTGGAAAGGAGTAAAAAAATATTCAAATTTTAATATTTCCTTTTTACTTAGTAATAATTAATATTCATCATCAATTAATATTAATAATATTATTAAGATTTTTATATAAAGTAAAATAAAAAAAAAAACAAATTTTCAGTTAAACGAAGATTTATTGCAAAACGCAAAAAAAAAAAAACAAAAAACGAATACATTGTGAAGGGAAAAAGTTGTGCATATTGAAAAAAGAAAAAAAAAAAAAAAAACAACAGCTGCTCCTTACACGGCAACAGACTTAAAGCAAATTTTTTTTTTTTTTTGTTTATCATCCTAAGCTATAACTAATAGTACGTAAATATTTAATATTATCACAAGGAAAACATGTTTTTTTTTTTTTAAATTTGTTAATGTAAAAAAGAATTTTTCCACTAAAAAAAAAACCATAACAATATAAGTTGTGTGAATATATTGTGGGTTGTGTAAAAAAAAAAAAAAAAAAAAAAAATTGAACCTACACAGTGATGGGTTCGTATGAAAAAAGCACACGCCCTTAGATGTGCAGGAAGACATTTACAGCAGCGACAAATACAATATCGAGAACAACAATAACAACGACGGCGACAACGAAAATATTGTGCACACTCATAAACATAACATAAGGGCACAAACAAACGCGCGCACACGAACACACATACAAATATAAACACACGCGCGCATCAAATGTTCGCAGCTCTCACCTATACAAACAAATTGATATAGAACGAGATGAAAAAGGACTCAAGCTCTATGTAATGATGACGACCACGATGATAATGATGATGAGGATTAAAATGATGATGATAACAATAGTGATGATGATGATGATGATGATGATGATGATGATGATGATGATGATGGTATTCAACACAACCCTGAACGGTTCAAGTGAAATTTTGTTTCAATTATAAACAAAAGAACAAGCAAAATAAAATAAAAAAAAAAATTCAAATTTATTAAAACTAAATTTTAAGCAAAAAGCACAAAATAAATTTGATTTATTAAGAGAGAAGAAATTAATCCCAAATAAAATGTAGAGATTGAAGAAAATGCTGAAATGTGCATCGAAAGGAAAACGCAAAGCTCTCCAGCCAATCAAGCGTTAAAGAAAATGCAACAAATTGATGATAACATGGCCAAATAATTCTTCTTCATCTTAAATGCTGGAAATAAATTAACATAAATATATTTTGGATTTTGGAATTTTAAAGCTGCTGTTGTTGCCATTGCCGTTGCCGTTGCCGTGGCTCTTGCTTATGCTTTTCTGCTCCTCTTAGGCATCAATAATAGAGAATTTGTTGTTAGACTATAAATACATTACATTTAATTTCTACAACGCCCACGTAATCGTCTACGCAATCGTGTTTCGTGTGAAACAATTACCTTAACAAAAAAAAATTAAAAAAAAAAAATAAATAAAATAAAAAAACAATAAAACACAGAAAATACAATAAACACAAAAAAAAAAAAAAAATTCAAAAGGAAAAAAGGCAACAAAAAGAGAAAAGAAAGGCGAGGAATACATAAAAGCGTTAATACGCCAACGTTCAATTGCCAGTCCTACGCTTAATATCCCGATTAAATCCTTATATGACGCGTGCCGTAAAGCCCAGAAATCCAGAGCATCGCCGTTAACCATTCAATCAACTAATGCAACGTAACTGAGTCCCAAGTCCTGTAGCTCCCACAACAGGAAAGATATTTCATCTTAATTGAAGCAGAACATGTATAACTTGTTTGTTTTAGTGCTTTTCGTCCGTTTGGGTGAGTAAATAAAATACATTTTTTATTCGATTCGCTCGCATACACGAGTCTCAATAATTATTAAATATAAAAAACAATTTGTTTTATTTCGATTTTGACATTTGGGTATTTACTCTCAGTTCAACATCGTTAAGCATGTGATTATGAAAATTCTGCAAATACTAAAACCTTGTGTACTTGCTTAAAAGCATTTTATACCAGTCAAGCAACTGCATAAGCTTCATTTCTTGATAGAGAAATCAATTTCTAAAGGTCTCAAGTAACCATATATGGCAACGATTTTTTGAAATCTGCTATAGGTATAGATGTCTTTTGGCTTTTCAAGAATAAAACAAAATAATAATAAGAATATTTTCTCTAATACCGTTTTTTTTGTTTTCTGATTACATTAAACGTGAATGAGCATTAAACCGTGTAAAAAAAAACAAAACATTTAAAAAATATTTCTTAAAAATGTCATTAAAAAGTTCATGCATTTAGAATGAAGTTTTCGGCTACCCTTTAGAAGAAAGAGTGCATAAGCTTTATCTAAATAAAAAAAAAAAAACAAATATTTTCTATTACCAGATGAGTAGGATCCTTGCTGAATGACCGAATGAAAATAATGAATTCTGAAATTTAAATTCGCAGTAGTATCTGCACCGTGTATTGTCTTGTAATGTAGGTCGCGTAAGTGATCAACGCAAAAAAAAAAAATGCCATGTCCAAGTTCTAGTTATTCCTACTTGGAAACTTTAATGAAATCGTTGCGCTTGTTGTTGTTATGCGAAATTGTGTCTAATGATTTAAAAAAAAAACGAAAGGCTCCTCATTCCTTAAAGTTTAATTTCAGTTTCGATTAATTTAAAAACTTGGAGAAAGTATTTCGAAAACGTCGTTCTGTTATATATATATATATAACTGTTCTGTTATATAATATATATATATATATATAAACTACGTCGGTCCGTTTGAACATATTAAAAAATCCATTTATTTCTGACCAAAATGAATGAACAGATTAATCAAAGTCGTGTCCATTGCTGGGTACTACTTTTTCCCATCTCTCAGGCAATTTTCAAAATTCAGCTTGAAAAAATGTCTCGTCTTTTGACTTTGCCCCCTAAAAGAATCCATATTTGGCTATTGTCATAGGAATTGAATTATTATTCGAGCAGACAATAAATCATCTATTTAAGCTCGTGTTAATTGGCAAGAGTAATATCTGCTAATAACAGCAAGTAGGGAGGGTACATGCCGCTCTCGTTAGAAGTACAAACAATTCTTCGTGGAGTTTTCCTATCTAAAGCTAATTTACTTTATACTCAAACCTGGCGATATCATGACTTTTGGCATATCACGTCTATTTTTCATATCACTTTCTATTGATGGTTGTTATTATTTCTTAGTGATGGTTTCACTTGTGTGGAACACATCATAATACACCGGGCCCAACTGACTCCTCCATATGCGGTCGCCGTGGATATTCAACTTTACCATCAATGTTAATAGTTCACCTACTCTGTATTATGCTTCGGATGGCATAAAGCATCCACTCTTCATCACTGGCGAAAGACTTAAAAGCATTACTCTTCCAATTAAGCAGGGAAAGTAAAGTTTCCTATAAATGGATGCTTTTTTTGGCACAGAACTACACATCTATTTAGAGCTGAAAGAAACTATGTTGTATACACTCTGATGTGATAATTTATACAGTTTGGTTTAGCTTACAGACAGGACTTTCAAATAAAAAACTCACAGTTCTATTCCATGCCCAATAGTGCTGTTTACACTTCGTCCTAGAAAGCAGGCGGAATTTCTTTGTACACACAAGAGATCTTTTATGTTTAAAAATCGAGTCAAGCTCTATCAGATCATTATTCTTATGCAGGAAAGATATTCAAAAGACTTTTCGTGCTATACAAATACTTTCTAGCAAAAGTTTGATAGAGCCGGCTGGTAGATGCTATCAGTGTTAAGAAAGGAAGTATCCATCACGAAACAATGTCAAGTACAAGCTCAGAGCCTATCTACACTAATACGAAGTGTTCTCCCCCGCAGTCGGTATTAATGCTAAAACGTACTCACGAAAATGTGTGTCTTAAACAAAGAAACGTAGAGGAATGGAAGTGAAGAAGAGTAGCCTTAAATGTTTAACATTTTCTTCCATTTTCGTGAACTTAAATTCGAAAATCGTTTCGATCATTTCTTACGTGCACTCACATTAACGAAACCTTATGCTTTTCAATTATTTCCTTTAATTACATTAATGCCCTTCGAGAACGCTATGCTACGTGAAAATGGACCGTTGATACGTTGAATTTTAGCGTAATTAGGACTATTTCTGTAAATACATTATTTTCTACTTGCAATACAAACAAAATACAAGTTGTAAAATTATGCTGTTAAGGTTACACATGTACCGTTATAGGTGCACGTCTCATTGTTACATCGCAATAAAATGGTAACAGCCGATATTAATCGTTAGTCCTTAATATCCGAATCTAAAAAGTTAAGCTTCGCGTATAAATTTTGGCATTTTAGCGTGTACTGAAAACGGTACACATGGAAAAATACTTGTTAAAATAGTGTACGACCAAGCCAGGAGTGGCTATTTTAAAAAATTTTGCGAACGAAAAGCGTTCGAATCAATTTCGACAATAGTATTGTAAATAAACCGTCAGTTTCATGCTTTGTAAACTACCCGGTACTACCTTTTGGAAGCAATAGGTACCTTTGTTTTCTTTTCTTTTTTCTTTTTTTTTTTTGGTATTTCTCCGTTCTCTCAATTTTATGGGCGTGCAATAATTATAATATAGATAATACTCGAGATGGGAGAGCGTTTATAATTATAATTATTGAAATGAAAAATCTTAAAAGTCAGATAACATACAATGCGAAGAATTCGAAGAATTTTCACTGACTTTTTTTGTATTGTTTTGTTTTTGCTTAATCATACAAGAGCAAAGAACGAAAACAGGTCACTTTACCAATGCCAAATGAAAACTCAATAATATCATAATGTTCGTTCAAAGCATCCATAACTAAAGAAGCAAGAATACAAATAAGAAGTGAGAGCAAATATTTGAAAAAGGAAAAAAAGAAAAGAAAAAGAAGAAACCATTTAATAGTGTATGATGGCGGTACATTTATTTGTGAATCAAATAAAGTAGGTTTACGTATGTGTTTGTATGCGCATAAGCTTTTAGGTACGATAAATACAATTTACGAACGGCGGCCTTGTCCTTGGCATCCTCTCATCGCAACGAATTGTGCAAAAAGCAACTTATTTCAAGCCGATGACAAGCGAACAGTGTTACGATAAACAGACGATGCATTCATTCACAAATGCAGAGAAAAATCCCTTAAGATAAATAGAGAATGAGAGAGTGAGCCGAAAAGTGTGAGAGAGAGTAAGAGAGAGAGAGAGAGAGAGGGAGAGAGAGAGAGAGAGAAAATGGGAATGGAAAATATTTTGGCACAAAATTTTCTTATATTTTATCTTCGACCGCAAATACTTGGAAGAGATTGCCTCGTTTCAATTTCATTATTGTAAAATGTCAGATTAAAAAAAACTTCATAATATGTTAAGGATTTAAAAGAACTCCCAGTTAATTTTTAAATCTCTTACAGAGATTCACTCCGCATTATCGTTTAGTTTCTCAAGCCGAAAAGCTTCTCAAATCAATTTATGAATTAAAAAGCTTTACACTCACTCATCATCAAACATCGCCGTCAAAACTACGACAATAATTTTAATTTATGTAAGAATTTTTATTATACAAATATAGTCGGTAAAATCTGTTTAAACTATTATTGTAGAAAAAAAAAATTGTCGAAAAATTTTTTCAAAAAATCTTTTAAAATCAAGAAAGCAAAAGCTCTATTGAATTTGACGCAAGCGCATCGCATTCAGCAACATTATGAATGAGATTTCAATGAATAAGAGTCTGCAGGTCTATGTATGAATTGTATGAAGCTTTCGATTTCATCTCTCAGCCTAAGAACTATTGATAGTTTTTGAAGTTGTGCTCTTTATAACCGACGAATAAGCAAACTACTTACTTTTTACGAAAACGTAACCTTTACTTACCGCGAATTCATTCATACAAAACTTCGACATACTCCCTTCTATGTTCCTTCAATAGGAGTTTGAGCTTTTCTTTCATCTTTTCATTTTTTTCGTGTTTTTTTTTTTGGTTTCTTTTTTTTTACAGTTCATGGTGATTATGGCTATCCCACAACTACTTGGCACGGTTTAACGGATTTGGAGTCAAAGGCAGAGTATGGCAGTGCCTCCAAACAATTGTTGATTCCGAATCATGTACGTGATTATGTAGGATTTTATCATCAACGACAAGAACATTTGAAGCCTCAGTTACGTTCGGCGGGAGGTCTTACGAAAGGATTTCACACTTCATCACCGAAATCCGGTGACTCTGATAAATATCATGAAAGTGAAGATCATGCCAACTATGATGACTACGTTATACATCCATCCGATAGTCCTTCTCATGACATATCTGACGATGATTACTTTGTTCCGGAGCTTTCGCATTATCCTCATGAAATCTTTACTACAGAACCCTTGCAGCAGCAAACGTCACATGAAGTAGGGCAAGGATTTAATGCGGGTGAATCGGCACGACATCGTGATGTTGGGGCTCGAAGTGGTAGCCGTACTGATTTGTATGGGGTGAGAGAATCGGGTGATCGCCGCGAAATGACTCGTGGTCGCGAGGGTTACATGAATATGTTGCACACGAAACAAAAAGTATTTCGTCCCCACGTTTCTCTTGTTCACGACGAAACTCGTCTAGCCAGTCCTAATGATGGTTATCGTCGCGATTGTCCTAATATTTGCGGTGAAATGCAATGGCAATGTGCTACTAAATGCAATTGCATACACGCGAACGAGCGTTGTGATAAAGAACCCCAATGCGAAGATGGTTCCGATGAATACGATTGTGATGTTGTGGGTGACATGATGTCAAAATTGCAAAGAGAATGTGAACAGACCGGCATGCATGTAATGTGCCCTAAAACATATCGTTGCATTAACAAAGAATGGTTGTGCGATGGTGATGATGATTGCGGTGATTATTCAGACGAAACGCATTGTGGCGAACGCATTAATTGCACGGAGGACCAATTTGAATGTGCCAATGGTTTCTGCATACCCAAACAATGGTTGTGTGATGGTGAAAATGATTGTAAAGATTTCTCGGATGAAGGGCATTGTAATCGAACAAGGTAAGTGTTCCTCTCATTTTCTCGCTTTGATCTTTGACCATGTGCTCGAGGTAAAGAAAATTTTATATTTATATTTTCAAGCTGCTCGAATGAACATTTCACGTGTAACGATGGGTATTGTGTTTCTATTGCATTTCGTTGCGACGGCGAACGGGATTGCAATGACAATTCTGATGAATATAAATGTCCTGCAGTAATTAATAGCTGTCCCGAAGGAGAATTTAAATGTCGCGGAGGATTAGGCGGTGCTGGCGGGCCTAGCGGGCAATGCGTGCTAAATCGTTTTCTTTGTGATGGTGATAACGATTGCGGAGATTGGAGTGACGAAGAAAATTGTCCCCAAAAACCATCCCAGTGCACGTCTGGCGAATTAAAATGTGCCGATGGCACTTGTATTCCCAAGCGTTGGAAATGTGATAAAGAACAAGATTGTGATGGCGGTGAAGACGAACACGACTGCGGCAACATGAATTCTAGTTTACATTCTAGTTGTGGTACCGATGAATTCACCTGTAACAACGGCCGCTGCATATTAGTAAGAGACATTTACAGCATTCTCTGTTACGAATTTATGGAATTTAAACTTTTTTCAGCGAACTTGGCTTTGCGATGGTTATCCTGACTGCTCGTCAGCAGAAGATGAAGTTGAGTGCCATCTGCAATGTGAATCAGGACAATTTTTATGCCCCGCTAAAAAGAACATAACAAATTTGAAGTAAGCTTAAAATCTTATAAGCAGATCTGAAGAACGAAATTTTTATGTCTTTTGTATACGTAGAATATGCGTGCATCAGAAACATGTATGCGACGGCCAAAATGATTGCCCTTTCGGTGAAGACGAGGTTAATTGCCCACATTATCGCGATTGCGAATCAGATGCCAAATGTGAGCAGTTGTGTATAACTACGGCTAAAGGTCGAAAAGAGTGTGCGTGTCGCCTGGGATTTCTCATGCACCAAAATAAGCAAAAGTAGGCCAATTATTTAAGATGTCTTACGTGGGATTGTAAAACTCTCTATTATTTTCCAGTTGCACTGACATTGACGAATGTCAATACCTTAGCAGCCCTGTGTGCTCCCAAAAATGTGAAAACACTTATGGTTCATTTGTATGCTCATGCGAAAGAGGCTATGTTCTACGTCCTGACCTTAGAACCTGTAAAGCTTTAGGAGGAGCCATGACTCTAATTGTGGCTAACCGATGGGATATTAGGCGAGTCACTCTCAGCAACAATCGATATGCGGCATTGGTTAAAGGTCTACATAATGCCATCGCTTTGGATTATCACTTCAAGAAAGGCATACTCTTCTGGTCTGATGTGTCCACCGATGTTATTAAAACCGTTTATATGAATGGTACTCGAGTAAGGGATGTAATCAAATGGGGTCTGGAGGCACCGGGAGGTGTTGCCGTCGATTGGATTCATGATTTGCTATTTTGGACAGACTCAGGTACAAGACGCGTTGAAGTCTCGAACTTTCAGGGCAATTTAAGATCCGTGATAGTTTCGAATGATTTGGATAAGCCCAGGGCCATTGTGGTCCATCCCGGAGAAGCCATGGTATTTTGGACAGATTGGGGTTAGTATACATATTAAGTTTTTTTTTCGCTCAAACTGTATTAAAAACTTCTTTCTCTCAGGTCCCAATCCAAAAATTGAACGAGCTTACATGGATGGTTCACAACGGCAAATCATTATTAATAAAGGCGTTACTTGGCCGAACGGATTAGCTATTGATTATCCTAGCAATAAACTGTATTGGGCCGATGCAAAACAGCATGCCATTGAATGCTCAAATTTTGATGGATCGGAAAGAATAAAAATTTTAAGCACCCACCTACCACATCCTTTCGCTATAACAATTTTTGAGGATACCATGTATTGGACAGATTGGAATACGAAGACTGTGTCGGCGGCTAATAAAATTACTGGTAAGGGATTTCGCTCAGTTCATGAGAATTTCCATTTTCCCATGGATATCCATGCTTACCACCCCGCTCGACAACCTGAATATCCTGACCGGTGTCAAAAGGATCGACGCGGCTTGAGAGGCGGTTGCTCACATTTTTGTTTACCGAATAAAAATTCCCGACGCTGTGGTTGTCCTATTGGTTTGAGTTTAAAAGACGACGGCAAAACATGTAAAAGCGTTCCTGAAAAACTGGTATTGGTCGCCCGGCGTAAAGATATACGCCTTAGGCAGATCCATGCTAAATCTTCCACTTATAACGATGTTGATATGATTATTCCTTTGGATAATCTTAAACATGCGGTAGCCTTAGATTGGACCAGTGATAGTGACACTATTTATTGGACGGATGTCGAGAAAAGCTCAATTAATAAAGCGTATTTGAATGGCAGCCACCAACAAAAAGTTATACATTCAAACCTGGTATCACCTGCTGGCTTAGCTTTAGATTGGTTGACTGATAAGTTATATTGGACAGATCCTTCAACCAATCGTATAGAAGTGGCCACTAGTAACGGGAAAATTCGTACATTGTTGATTTGGGATCTTCTCGATAAACCGCGAGATATTGTTGTTAATCCCATTGAAGGCCTTATGTTCTGGTCCGATTGGGGTGATCGGCCAATGATAGAATGCGCTCATATGGATGGAAAAAAACGTCGCGTAGTCACGTCTGAAAATCTAAAATGGCCAAATGGTTTAGCGATAGACTACGAACAACAGAGATTATACTTTGTAGACGGAGGCACCAAATCTCTCGAATACATGAATTTTGACGGCAGTGAACGAAAAACTTTGCTGGGTAAGTAATGTATATTGCTATTAATGTCGTATAACGAAAAACAATAGATTTTTCTTTGAAGGCGGCCTAGGCCACCCATTTGGCTTGGACGTTAGCGAAAGTCGCGTGTATTGGACGGACTGGGATATAAAGGCTGCTTTAAGTGCCGACAAACAAACCGGCAAAAATATGACAACCGTAATAGCGAATTCCAGTGACTTAATGGACATAAGTGTTTTCCATAGATACCGTAAAAGAATATCTCATGCATGTTCAAACGATAACGGCGGCTGTTCCCATTTGTGTCTTTTAAATCCTATCAGTTATTCGTGCGCTTGTCCGGTAGGTATAACAATACAACCAGATAATAGAACATGCTCTTCGGGTCCCAGCAAGTACATAATATTCGCCCACCGCGTTGATATACGTCAGATTTCCATGGATTTTGATCATTTGATTGATGTAGTATTACCATTACCACCAATTTCAAATGCGGTGGCCTTAGATGTTGATCGGAAGACGGGACAGATCTATTGGAGTGACATTGTTGACAGTCTCATTATGAGTTCTAGTCCAGATGGTTTAAATGTTAATCGCATTATTTATGAAAGTTTGGATAGTCCCGATGGTTTGGTGATAGACTCTGTCGGACGTACGGTAAATTAAGAATCAATGGTTGTTTGAAAGAAAACTCTCTTATTAAATATATTTGTCTATGCAGTTATATTGGGCTGACGCTGGCCGTCATACCGTAGAAGTAGCTACGTTAGATGGAAAATATCGCCATCTTATAGCCTGGAAGGACTTAGAATCCCCACGTGGCTTGGCCTTGGATTACGAAGCCGGTTTTCTCTTTTGGACAGATTGGGGTCATTATCGTAAAATTGAACGCGCCCATATGGACGGTGAGAACCGGCAACGTATTGTGACTTCAAATTTGCTTTGGCCAAACGGTCTCTCGTTAGATTTGAAGGCGAAACGCATCTACTGGGTGGATGCTAAACTAAAGGTTATCGATTCATGCGACTATGAAGGCAATCAACGTAAATTAATTATGTCCGCTCTACATCATCCTTACGCTTTGGCTTTAACTGATGAGTTCATTTACTGGACTGATTGGAAATCCAAAGCACTGCATATGGCTGATCGCAATAATGTCTCAGACAAACGAGACGTTATGACAAATATCGATGGCTTAATGGACATTAAGGTAATCAGTACCAATGAAAAATTACCCAGCAACGTTTGCGGTGAAAATAATGGCGGCTGTTCCCAACTTTGCCTCCGTAATCCGTCGGGTTACACATGCAAATGCGGTATTGGTCTTAAACTAATCAACGGTAATTCAACCGAATGTGAATATTTACCTGAGGTAAGATTTCAAGCTAAAAATGTAAAAGCGATCTGGAAGTCCAGGTTTAAACCATAAAAGTTTTCCTTTCTTTAGAAATTATTTTACTTTTAACAAAAATGTTAACAGCAGACTTGATTTACTCTATATATATAGGATTACTTGTTGATTGCATTGCGCTCTGGCATCGGATTGATTTCGTTAACTACCCCAGATTTAATGGATGTTGTTTTACCAATTCCCGGCGTTCATGGTGTAGTAGTTCTCGATTACCATTATCGAAGAAATTGGCTTTATATAGCCGATGTCAATTTAGATATAATACGGCGTGTTAACTTGAAAAATTTAACTGAAAGTAAAGTTATCGTTAACACTCAACTTGCCACTCCGAATGGCATATCGGTGGATTGGATAGCCGATAATATTTATTGGTCGGATAGTGATCATCGTATTATTGAGGTGTCGCGTTTAGATGGATGCTGCCGCAAAAGCATCCTTTCAGACGATATGGGTGATCCGCGCTCTTTAATCGTACACCCTAAACGGGGGTAAGCTCCAACATATCAAAATATATGAAACTGAATTCATTATTGCTATGAATGTTGTCGTTACTATAGTTACTTATTCTGGTCGGATTGGGATACACCGTCGAGAATAGAACGCTGCTTATTGGATGGTTCGAATCGTACTATCTTGGTGGGAAATAATTTAGGATTCCCTACTGGATTAACAATTGATTTTGAGTAAATTTCGATTCACTATTCACGTATATGATAGTTTAAAGACATAAACTTAGTAAAATTCATCTGGAATTTCAGAAATCGTCGCCTACTCTGGGCTGATGCGTTAGAAGACAACATTGGCCAAGTGGATTTCAATGGTAAACGCCGAACTGTTATTATACCCTATGCAAGCCATCCATTCGGCTTAACTATGGTGAGGCAAATATTTAATGTTCATTTTTAATAAATATATTATTATACCCTTTGAGCCCTTTACTATGTATGTCATCAGAGAATGAAAAGGTGTTCCTTTTATCTAAGATCTAAGTATAAGTCTTACATTTCTCAAAACATATGCACTTTTTATATACCCATCTATTTTAAAGAAGCCTAGTAGGAAATTAATTGAACATGTCGTAAGACGGGCCCGCGAATAGCTACAACATCTGTCACATGTCCATTAATATAAAGATTTTTTATATCCAGGATTCATTTGATATATGAACGCACTTAAAAAGAACCTATGAACGAAATTTGCATATGTTCTGTTCAAAGGGTCCATATCATGTATTAAAAATGAGAATACAACTTTTCTATTTATTTTATTTATTTATTTGATCTGTACTGATACTGTGCTTAAAAACACGAATTACGAAAAAAATGTATTTGTTTTTTTTTTTAAATCTTAATTTTCTCTCCGCTCAGTTCGAAAATAGTATATTCTGGACGGACTGGTACAATAAATCGGTATATCGCGCATACCGTAAAGGACGTTCGTTTAGTCAGCCGGTCGAAATTCGAGATTCTTTAAGCGGTGCTCTTGATATACGTGCCGTTTCGTTGAAACGGCAACTACAAGAGTGGAATCAATGTAGTCAGGATAATGGAGGTTGCTCACATTTATGTTTATTTAGAGGCTTAGACTATGTATGCGCTTGTCCCGATCAAATCGATCTTTCGCGCGAATGTTCAACGACTCCTAAGTTTTATGTGCCGCCACAGCAACGATTAGACGAAAACTTGGCCGATTATACCGATGAAGTTACTGAAAGTGATAACACTATGCTAACAGAAGATGACTTCGGCGATGATTATCGCGTTAAGAAGTCCAGCCGACGCGAAACCCTTATATTGATAGCAATCGGTATCGTCATCATTTTACTCGTAATAAGTGTAACGGCTATAATATGTAAGTTACGAAATCGTGAAATCGTTATGATATATATAAATATGAAATAAAACTTTTTATCACAGATTTAGTTCACAATTCCAAGCGTACTAAAAGCAAACGTCACAAGCGAGGAGGCTCTAGTCGATCAGTCCTAACTTTCTCAAATCCCAATTACAATGTAGACGGCACGCCTATAGAACCCAAAACCACAATATGGAAACGTTTTAAAAGTGATCGAATCCATGTAAGTGTGTGTGTGTGTGTGTGGGTGAGTGTAGTAAATATTTGGTTTCTAAAAATGTCATGCCATGTTTGGTCTGAAAAATTGCGAATGTTGGTTAAATCTCTTCCCGATATGAAAACATTAATTTGAATCCTCTCGAAGATCTAAGAAATCACGTAAAAAGTACATTAACTTGGCACGAATCTGAAATTCAAAAATGAATAAAATTATTCATATAACACTGTGGTCAATCATTCCCGGGACACAAATATAGATGTCGCTTTAAACAGGATAGTGTCATATAATTCCTGTGAATGGCACATAGCTTTTGTTTTTAACAAAAATCGATATTATTTCAAGAGTGTGTAATATACTATCTCGGGCAATAATTCCCAGGACTCACACCTAGATATTATTTCAAACAAAAATCGATATTATTTTACGAAAGAAAGTGTCAACCCTCAAGCGATTTTATGTTGTTTCTATTATTCGCAAATTACAACAGGTTGAGTGTATTATTCTCCGAACTTTATTTTCGAATTGTTGTATTGATTACATATTGCTTTTGGATGCGAGAAAATAGCGTTAAAATTTAGCATTGGCTTAATAAGTCTTATGAGAACTCTTCCCCGCTTGTTGATTTTACACTACATCTTAACCGGATACCATCGATAATGCTGAATGCGAAAGACGCCAAAAAGAGGTCATTACTATACAATATATCGAGAAAAAAAAACCTCTTGAAAAATTTCTGTACTTATAAAAGAGTAACGGATTTAGTTGACCATACCATCAATTCACAAGTCAAGGGCGAAAATTGCACAACAGCATGAATTAAAGTTTGATTTGCTGCCAACTTGCGGCATTACCTCCTAGCTGTTATTGGATGTTTGTAAATCTAAAAAGGATGTATTCTAGGAAATAGGGAAAAAGTGCCTAAAACTGATTTTGAGACTCCTGACAAATCGACCTTTGAAAAAGGCATTAAAATGCAGAATTTGCATTTTGCACAAACTATATCTTCTTTCGTACTTAATCGCATTCGCCGAAGTATTATTTTGGTCCTACGTGTCAGATGCTAGAAAGTCTAAGCATAGCAGAGAGCTAGCTATATATTCTCACCAGGATTGTTCTGTTCATTACAAAAAATACAAGTATTTCCGTTTGTTTTTTTGAGGTTACGTCATGCGATTTATTTGAAATTATTTTACGAATTCAAGTTGTGCCAGTCGACTATAAATAAATTTTAACTTTTTATGGAAATTCTTACCCATAGTCCACCCTCTACTTCTGCTAGAGAAAATTTACGCTTACAACGAACGTCCCGCTTAGCAGGCAATTGCAATAGTTTAAGGACTCCTTGAAGAAAGAGACGATTTTTTAGTTAAGGTAACACACAACGAAGATGGAATTACACTAGGACTGTTCATTAGTAGTCAAGCTTCCTCACGACTATTTTTTTAGTGGCAACAGCTTATAGTATATAATATTAACCGGGAACGTTTGTCAACTTTTTTAGTTGTCATTTTAAAAAACACGAGTTTTATTTTTAATAAGATATACTTTATTAGCCACAATTTCGATAAGCAGAGACTTTATATATCTACGTCGTCCAAAAGTAACCGTTTTCAAAAATAAAGCACGCAAAGTTTATTATGAGTACATATAATAAACACAAAGCCACATTTCCGGGTGTTTGCTAAGGTCATCAAACAAAAAAAAAAAAAAACTTTCATAGAAACACATTTTTTGAACAGCACTTCCTTGGGCGTACCATTAACTCAAATCAATTTTGAACCAATCGACGTCAAATTTAGACAGTTTCTTCATTAACTCATCCTCCAGCGTACCACAAAACACAAACAAAAACATTCTAGTGGGGCACGTCCTACCATTGAATATTCTACGCCGTCCGACACCCTGCTCATACATCAACTCTTCAAAATACGATGTTATATGGTAAGTGGTCAATGTAGTAAATTTCATCAAAATACCTCAAAAATTGTGACCTGCAACTTGAATATAATAATACATGAACCGATCTTGAATATAATAGTACATGAACCGATATCAGACGTATCGACTGACAGACAAGCTTAGATCGATTCAAAAAATGATTCTGAATCGATCGGTATAATGAAAGATGAGCGAATCTCAAGCCCATCTGATTAGTACTTACGTCTATACAAGCCTAATATACGCTGTAGCACACACGTTATGAGGGATATAAAAAAGAAAGAATTTTTAGACCGCTTTTGAAAGAATTGCTTTCTAGCTAATGCTTATCCAAGCAAAAAAATCTTCTCTAAATAAAACCACATGGTTATTTTTTTTTTTAATTTTACTTTTTTTTAGGAACGTGTCTATGAAGAACGTAGTCTAACTACAGAAACAGCCTCATCCAGTTTATTTGTACCGACACCTTCGCCCGCAACTTCACCATCCGTCAAGAAAATACAACTTTCAACACTCTCTACAATTGCATAAAAGAATTTTATTAATTAACATAATTTTTTCAAGAACGATAACAACAACAACAACAAGAATTCCTATAAACTAAAATTAAAAACAAAAAAAATATTTAAAAAAATACAATAACAAGTAAATAAAAATCATAATGAAAAACGTATCTCTCGGTGTAAAGATCAAATAATTGTAATTTCATAAACTTAAAGTTACTGTAATCTATGACAACAAAAATAACAACAACTTAATTTTTATATATATAAATATACATATATAAATATATTTATATGTATATATGTATATATAAAACTAAATCTTCCTAATACCAGATATACATAAATAATCGATAGTAGCCGACCTAACAACGGCGGCCCCAGTGTATATAAACGTCAGCTGAGACGAATCACTAACAATGAGTTAAACGGTTGTTTTAACAAAATAATTTGCTAATTATTTTATATAATATATATATATATATATATATATATATATATATGAAATAATATATATTTTACTTTTAAACATTTTTTTTATTCAAAAACTTTTATTTTTCTTATGTAAATAAGTTAAAAAAAAAAATTATTTGCCTTTGCAAATAAAAAAAAACTCGTGAATTCTTTGTGAGTGCCAAATAATAATATATATAAATATATGAATTCATTAGCAATTAAAAAAAAAAAAAAATCCCAAAAATAATTAAACAAGCAATTGGATTAAAGAAAAAAACAATTTTTTTAATAATAAAATTTGTAAAAAAAAAATGGAAAAAAGAAGAGTAAAGAAAAAAAAAAAAAAATTAGTTTCTAAAATATTAAAACTTCTTATGTAAATATGTTTATTTCTATTAGTGTACATTTTTATATATATACATATACATATATATATATATATATATATATATATGTAAGAATATTTTTTTATAAAATCCTCAAATCCAAACGTCCCTATCCATTTATCAAAAAGCATTATATAACTAGAAAAAGTTGTTGATATATAAACAAAAACCAAAAATCATATATTTGAGCAAGACATACCCAACTAAACAAATATGTAATGCGTTGCTTAATAAAAAGAAGCACATATAAGCACGCGCACATACATATACATACACGAACTAATCGTTACGTGAACAAACAGATCCAACTGTATACACACACATGCACACACCATAAAAATGCAAAGAAAATCCGTGAAACACGGGAATATAACTGCGTGTATGCATATGTGTGACAACAACAGGTAACAAATAACGAAAAATCAAAACTTTATTAATGAAAACAACAAAATATTTATTTAAACAAATACACACACAAAAGCATTATGTAAAAACAAGAAAAGAAAAAGTTTTTACTCACAAGTTTCCATAAATCCATATATATATAAATAAAGTATATAATCGATGGTTGTACGCATATTAAGAGAATTTATATAAAACGTGACAATATTTAGGGCTCAGATATTGTTACGTTTTGTTATATGTAAAGGTAAAAAAAAAAAAAAGCACAGCCATACTCAGACTTTCTCTTACGCCATCCAACTGAACTAAATAGGAACTTAAATACGAATAACTTTGGATTTGAAATAACTGATCGAACATCAATTAGTTATACGGCCTTATTGAAATCTGAATAGAATTTTTACCGGATTAACAATAAGAGCAGTTAAGATCAAACCAGTAATGTTTTGTAAAGAAAGTAAGTTTGCAATATAGCTCTGTATCTCGCCTCTTCTCTCTTTCTCTCTCTCTCTCTCTCTCTCTCTCTCTCTCTCTCTCTCTGTCTCTTGCATTCAATGTTCATGTCTGTCTTTCTTCCTCCCTCCCTCTCTCTCTCTCTCTCTCTCTCGCGCTCTGCCCCTTTCAGTCGTCGTGATCAGAATAAGTCTTTTTACATTACAAACATTAAAATATGTCGCCCGATCGTTTGTGATGTTTTTAAGGAAATCGCCAGGCTGAAGAATTTGTGAAATTGTACGAATTTTAGTTTCAAAAAACTTAAGATTCGTTTATAGACATGCCTTAAAGGAGCTAAGATTGAAAAACAATAAATTTTTTTTTTTTTTAGATAACGTAAGACTTATGATATATGTCTATCTAATTGTAAACGTATATTACGTGCATTATAGCCATCAAAAATGTTGATACTAAAATATTATCGATTGGTCGACATTTTTTTTGTCCCAAAATAATTTACATTTCCCCATTGATAACTTGACATTTGAAAACATGCAAAGTCGAAAAATGAGCTATAGAAAGAGTTGCGAATAATATACCTTAGATCCGATGTCGAAAACTGGATTTCAAATATTCACTGCACTTGCGCAAAAGTATTGGATGAAACTTGTTGACAAGAGTTAACGCCAATCAATCTAAAAACGTCATAAATAATTAAGATTCCTTTGTAAGCGAAAGATAATCTCTAACCATAATGGTTACAAAAGTTTCGCATCTCTGTTACGCCAATTTTCTACCGGCCATGGTACAATAGGATTAAGATTTGTCCAGCCGTTACTGTTACTTACGTACTCATCAAAGAGAGACGTGTAAGGTGTAGTGTGTGAAAACCTCGCCAGATTATGAACTAGGAAAACCTGTTAATTATATACTTTACTTATGGTATGCGGTGTACAAAGTTTACGCCGATGTATATGAATAATACCCGCTCGATAATAAATATCATTTTTAATTGATATAAGCTTGTCTGTTTGTGTATCCGTCTGTCTTTCCAATGTCTACCCATGTACTTATGTGTTTAACGTAAGTGGATAACATATCATAGGCTAACAGGTTTTGGTCTGATTTGAGAATGCATTGCACCTTCTTGCAAAGCCATATTTTGAAAAAATCTTTACATGGCATAAAGTTTGCAAAGGACCTAATAAGCCAAAGGTTTGAACCACGAAGATTTACTCTTTGCATCCCATTCCTTACAAATATCTTCATGAAAAGCAAGTCTTTGTATTGAATTGTTAGCAGCTTTTATACCAAGGTCTTTGATAAAAAAAAGTATCAAACGTTTGTTAAATTTGCACCACGTAGTTCGCATTTGGTGGGGCCCATGAAAAGCACACTTTTACATTGGAAAAAAAAGGATAATTATTGGCGTTTTATCACGAAAACGAACGAATAACAACTGAATTACTTAAAGTTGTGTAGGACGTTGAAAGATCGGTCTTGTGCGACTATAATGTTCTTACTTGTTGTTCTAGTGGAAGTAAACTTTGTAAATTTTCTCTACTTCAATTCAAAATTCACTTCACCCATTTCAAAGGTTCACTTCAGCATATGTTTAATGAATTTGACGAATTTCTATATAGTTTATGCAATTGCTTTCTGCAACAATTTGCCAGGCAATCTTGACATAATTATATAGCTATATTCTATGCCCCCTATATGATATTCTACCACAATTTTTGCGACTGTAAACATTCCAAGCATAAGACCAGCTAGACGAATGGATGGATCGATGGGTGGATGGACGGGAGGATGAACGGAGGGGAGGACGGACGGACAATGTTAAATTGACTTCGATTCTTAAGATTCTTAATCACACACAAATATATTACTTTATGCGACTGATATATTAGCAATGCTTGGCGTTTGTGTATGACTGTTCAGTAGCCATTAACCTATATATGTATATATATATATATATATATATATATATATGATATATGCATATGCATATATACATATATATTTGTGTATATGTATTTATGTACAGATGTTTATTCACATAAGCATGGAGGAAAAATAAACTTGTAATTTTAAAACTTTTTTTTTAGAAACTTTTCTCTATTATTATTTATTTTTATTTATAAAACTACAAATGTATGCGTTAAAAAATGTTGCCCTTTTTTTAAACATATATACATACTTATACAGAAAAATGGTTATCATTACAAAGGTCCAGTAATCTTCTATACATTTGCATAATTCCTTATATGATTTCGATATCTTTTATAAGCGTTTTATACTTAACCTAAAGTAAGAGCAGAAGAAAATATAAGGCAACAATATTTCTTGCTTTACGTTAAGGATAACTACAGCATGCCCAGATATAAAAACGTGAGCGGTCAATTTTAATAGAAAGACAAAAAAAAAAAAAAAGACAAGAAAAAAAACAAAGCATTCGAAAATATTAATAACATATACATAAGCATTTCATTTTTCCTTTTGCTTTTTTTTAATTTTTCCATTACTACACTTACAATATGTTGCAGTGTAAGATTTCTGTTTTTTTTTTTTATTTCTTTTATTTATATAAAAATCATCCAAAAAAAAAGAAAATGTCATAATAAATCTTTGGTTTCTTTTAAATCATATTTATTTTTATTAAATATATTTTTATAGAATAATTTGCTTTCTCTCTAACACACAAAACACTATAAGGAAATAATGAAGACTGATTCTATTATGAACAAAAAGCATAAAGTAATATTTTAAACTATTGCTTCTTTTTCTTTTTTTTTTTTTTCTCTCTTCCTTTTTTTATCGCATAAATTTTCCGAAAAGTATTTTGAAAAAAAAAAAAAGCAATTATAAAATTATAATTTTTTTCTAAGCGACAATATCAACACGTGCTTTTCATCCTAAAAGCCGATAGGAAAAAGAATATGAGTTAATGCATTTGAATATATCTTAACGATAAATTGAAAATATACGTAAGAATATTGTCATCAGTGCGAACTGACTGAAAATAGGAAAATAATCAAGAATTGAATTAATTCTCAACCTTTCTAATCTCTTCGATACTGTCTTTTTAACCACGTTCTCTCCCAATTTGCTTATGATTAGATTCCATTTTCACGTCATGTGCACCGTTTTCGGTACACGTGAGTAAATTAACCAATTCTGAATTATTATATTTTTTATTGGTTTATGATACTAAATATATATGTTTTACCATGCTGTGTGTACCCTTCTCGGTACACGCTTCAAAGAGTGCTAGCATAATAATTAATTTGTAGATTCTATTGTCTTAATCTAAGATAATTGAACTTGGAATACAAGTGCATATTATCACATACTGAAGACGGTATACGTGGCGGAGAATATGTTAAGGCAAGTAAAAAAACTTTAATCGCCTTGAA